CAGAGCCACTAGCACAGTGTAGGTGGTATTGCTCACCCTTACATTGTAAGTAAAAGGAAAAAGCCTTTCTTTCTCATATGGCAACAACCACAGAGCAGTCCATTAGTTACTCTTTTAAGAGACCGTATATGAGTAACAAAGGGATAGGAGAAAAATCCCTCCTTGACCAGTGCTCTCTTTTAAGAACCCTTAATTTGCAGGGCCGTAGGCATTTGTATGGGGCACTAAGCTCTTTGAAGAATCCACTACACCCAAGTAAGCTCAATCTTTTCAGCTTATATATACTGAGAAAAGAAGGGGAGAGAGAAAGAGTTAAAAAAAGATGTTTCTGATATAAAATCATCCAAGCTCCCTTCTGCCTGTGCTGATGGAGCCGGTACAGCATGACTAAACCCTAGGACAGCTTTTCTCCAAGCCAAGTCAGGGGGTTTGGAAGAAGGGCCACTGATCCAAAGACACTGAAGAGGGAGGTGTCTGAACTGCACAGATCCAAAGGGCAAGCACATGGTCAGGGAGGGAATACATGCAGTTCCTCACGGGCCGCTGAGAATGGTCCTATGAGCCTTGTTCTCTCCCTTGACGATAGAAGCATCTGAAGCCAGATGTTCTCTACATTACAGATGTTTCCATTTTGATGAAGTGAGTCCCACCTTGGATGCTGAGCAGGCCTCAGAGCTGGGAGATTTCAGTGCACAAGGGAAGCATTAACCCTTGTTTGTTGCAGGGAGAGCAGGGAGCAGCAGTAGATCGGCTCCCAAGGAATGGGAGACTGTGCAGAAAGGCACTGGGCATTGCAGATGACCACCCAGCCTGTCCCTAGCAGCTGAGTGCAACCCTCCTGGAAGCCAGTGAAACAAAACTTCTCCTTTTTAAAAAATGTCTTTCTTAAATCAACCTAGTTACATCTATGCTCATCACCTGCCGTTATACTGTAGGTAGGCAACACCTAGTTGGTTGCATCGAATCCTCGGGAAGCTCCAATATTGCTCTGACTTTTTTATGATCTCTGTACTCCTTGGGCTTTGCCATTTCTGTCTCCTAGAGACCTTAGGTTTTCTTAATGTTGAAAGAAAGAGTATCCATGCCAGGTCTCCTTGTTGGGGGGAGTTTGGATCATGACATGTTTCTAAAGGCTCTTGGGAGGGTTCAGGAAGTGACAGAAGGTGTCTTGAGCTGCCTGCACTGGGATTTATTTGTGTGAGAAAGAGGAAGAATCAGTTACAGGGATGGAGTTTATAATTGACCTTACTGCCTCAGCTGGTGCAGGGAGTCCAGTTCCCTCTTCCCTTTCTCAGCGCTGTGCTGAGAAACAACATTTGCTGATATTGGCTTACCAAACCAAGGGGGAAAATTACTATGAAATTATTACAAGGACCATCTGAAATCTGAGAAGAGGATGTTTTTAGTAGTGGGAAAAGAGCCAAATACCTTAGAAGAGAAATATCCTGGCTTTAAGAATTAATTACCACTTCCTAGTAATGTGAGTCTGAACTATTAAATAACCTTGCACAATTTTCTGGCCAGATACTTATTAATGGGAATATTGGGAACAGATCAAGAGAGCAATATAGCTCTCTGAACCATGCGCAGATGGGCAAATCCCTGGCATAACAAGTCACAGTCTATATTCAAATGTCTGATCCTGCCTTTGGTCAAGAGCATCAAGCAATGAATGTAGTAAGAAAATCTTGTAAATGAACTATCTAGAAATCTCCTTCATCAGAAAAACGTTTATTTCTCCTCATTATGTATGGGGAAAGAGGAGACCAGCGGGAGAGCAAGGAAAGGATCAACGACTGTTTTCTTTTAGAATCTTTTAGAATTGTCACTTGGTATCCAAAACTGAAGGTGAGCTGCTCTAACTCATAATAAGCTTTTCAAGTGTGTTACTCTTAACATATCTCTGGAAGATAGCTCTAGCTCTTGAAAGGACTGAATAGCTCCTTGGAGCGCTCATACATCCCAGAACCTCAGCTCTCCAAAAGGGACAAATATCTTCAAGCCTTGGGATTTAGGAGAGACAAGATACTCTCCTCATACCAGTGAGAATCCAATAGAAGACGTCAGGAGCCAATAGTAATGGCAAAACTGACACAAAAGGATAACTTTCCCTTTTCGGTCCATTTTGGAGCCATTCAAACCTTACCAAGGTGGCTCAGCCAGAGCAGAAGCGAGGCGATGTCGTTGCAGCATGTTCTTGGTGCTCTCTA